TATTATTATTATTATTATTATTATTATTATTATTATTATTATTATTATTAAAATAATTTAAATAATTTAAACAGGCATTTTATCATTACTTTGTTCGTTTTGTAACATACATTTTCATCAATCATTTCCATTAATATAATTAATCTGGCAATTGAACTAAAAGTTTCACACCAAAAATAAAAAAGAAAGAAAAAAAAAAAAAACAAAACAAGAAGAAAACCTCACATAACAAATGGTCCCAGATTAGTCAACTATTAATAAGAAAAGGGGTAAATACTCTTTGCACCCCTGAAGTATAAACTCTGGAACACTTACCCCTTAAAATATCATTTGTAACACTTACCCTCTTAACGTTAATTATTTTATATTTATAAAATTAAAACACAATAAACATGACAACTAATATTTATTGGATCATATAAAATTGAAAAAAACAACTAAAATTAAATTATTTGAAATAATTAAAAAGTAATATATATTGTATAATAATAAATGAAAATATATTTTTAAGAAATTAATGAACTACAATAAATTTAAATACTCAAGATTACTATTGGTTAAGTATTGATTTCTTAAAATTTATCGATATGAATATATTCGATTAATTGGTCCAACAACACTTAGATGTTATTAATTAAATATGTACCCAATGCAAGATAATATTTTAAAATTTTAAAATTAATGCATTTTTTCATATATATTTTTTAGTTGTATAATTTAATTATTCTTTGAATTATTTGTTTCGATAATAGAGAAACTTTAAGGTATTAGAATTTAAAATACAAATTAAATTGTGTTTGAGGGGGTAAGTGTTACATAATGTATACTTTAGGGGTGCAACCTGTATTTAACCCATAAGAAAATAAATACCTTGATTGTGCATTTTGTAACATACATGATAATAATAATAACTGATGCAAAGCTTTTAATGCACATTCAATTCCATTATCTTTCATGTGGAAAAAAAACTGTTGAAACGAAAATGCATCTCTCTAAAAGGTGTGAATGTTGGAGAAGATGGTGAGATTTAGCACCCAATTAGTAGCAACAACAAAACGGTCAGAGGTTTTTTTTTTTTTGTCTTCTACATGTACAAAATATAAGTTTTTGGAATTGTAAGCGGTGATTCTAATTTTTTTTTTTTGTCAGATTATCTGTTCTTGGTATGTTGTATAAGTTTTTGTTTTTTTTTTCTTTTCTCCATGGTATTGAGGATTGGGTTTTGGTGCACGGGAAAATTGTAGATTATTTCTTTTGTTGATCTATGTATTCGTTCAATTTGACTATCAATCTAATTTATTTATTTATGCTACTTTGAATTTCAGTTGTGCAACATGAAATTAGAATATGCTATTGGTTGAGCAAGATGCATGATATAATTACTCGAAATGGTCTTTTTCTCTAAGAATGCATGATGGTTCAAGGTAATAACTAAATTTCCCTTTTTCATAAGCTATTAATATTCTTTTTTTTTCCTTGCATTTTTAAATCTCCTGTCTTTAATCTTAAAAATCAATTGAATTGTATAAAATAAAACTAAATCGAAAAAATAGATAAAATTATATATATCAAATCAAATTTATTTTAAGATAGATGCATTTTGAATCCTAAAAATTAATTGAATCGTAAAATTCGTATAAAATCATACTAAATAGTAAACATTTCGTAGGGTTATATCAAGTCGAATTTCTTTTAAGCTTCTAATCGAAAAGTTCAAAAATACAAATGAATCGTTTTATTATAAATAGTAAATAGTAAGAGTTTGTAATTTTCTTAGAAAGTTGTGTTGTAAACAATATGGGTACTAAACTATTAAAGAGGTATGTCATGGGAGATGAATATCTTATCAAAGAAATTCATCAACAACCAAAGGATAGTTGGAGGCTAATTCACTTTTTCAAAAAGAAAACATGGTAGCAGATGGCTTAGCAAAGATAGATCTCAGAAAGATAAGAAGGACTATTAGCATAAGGAAGCTCTTCCTTATAATATAAAAAATGTAATTTTTATGGATAAAATAGGTATTCATAAACTTTGTAGAAAATAAGGGGTACTCTTTCCTTGTAGCATAACATGGATTAAGTGAGGCCCATTTGTATAATCTCCCCTCTTATCAATATTTTTTTTTCGGCAATAAAAAAAGAAAGTAAACAATAGGGGCACTCATTCCTTGTTAGGTGAAAGTTTGATTTGAGAAGGACCTTTGATGCAATAAAACTTTTATGTTTGGCCAAAAAATAATCTAAGTAACACAACACGTGCAACGCACGTGCACCTGCCTAGTATAATAAAATAAACTAGTGTATTTTCGAATTATCGAAACTACTGAAAGTTACATATAAGCAATGTACATGTATTTAATAATGCGAAAGATTGTCGGAAAATAAATTAAAAACTTGAAATAAATAACGATCTGATAAAAGAACTCAATATTTAATTAGTATAGACACAGTAACTGATTTACGATATTCCATTCACATCAAATGCAAGACTAAGTATAAAAAAAATCAAAGCAAATAGTTATAACAATTTGAACAATTGAATTATCAACATATTTTTATAATAATAATATTAAAGAGTATAAAAAATTCTTTGGGGCGCAAATTTTCTAAAAATCGTGGCTCTAGGCGACCGCCTCTAGCCTACTCTTAAAATCGACCCGGTTATGTACTAAATCAATTTTTTCTTAAGATTCAAATCGAGAAGTTGAAAACTTGAAGCGAATCAAATCGTAAGAAATTAATAACTATGTATATTGTCAATTGTGAAATGGATTATTTCTTTTGCATTTCGAAATGGATTTCATTCATTATAGGAAGACGAACGACATGTCTTTCGTGAATTTGTGTTTCGTGTTTGCAAGGGTTTCATGAATTGATCAAGTCCCGGCGTCTGTGTCAAGTAGACTTGTTTTGTTGGATTAATCATAAGCAATTTTTAATTAGCACCCACGTAAGGGGGCTATAAGATTCTTATTTATTTTTATGAATTTTCAAACTTACCTCCAAATTTGTGAAATAAAATCGTAATATGATGCTAGTAGCCAAGACAAATTCAAGATTCATCGTTAGGGCTGACAATTGGTGATGTGACCCGAGCTTTGTTCGATTGAAATACAATCGAGATTTACTATTTGAATCACAAACTCACAGGCTTATAATATAGTGTGAGGCTCAACACGACTCATTTAATATTTTGCGTTTTGGGTTTATATCGAGCTCAAAATCGAACTTATAAGATTCTCGCATAATTTATTTTTATGAATTTTCAAACTTACCAACAAATTTGTGAAATAAAATCTTAGTATTAGGTTAGTAGCCAGGACAATCGAAAGAATATAGATTACTTGAATACATTAATTTGGACTAATTTTACTTAATACAAGATACAAAATAAATCTCATGCGTGCATATATTGTTCCATAGTACAAAATATAAAATAATATAAAAAAAATTAACTCGTAAGAATTATGATTAAACAAAGGGGTTGCGTGATAAAAATAATTAAAATTACAAATGTTTGAAGATGTTATAAAAACTATTATTTTAATGAAAAAATGTTCTAAAAAAATATATATATAATAGAGAAAAACAAGAACCCCATCTAGGAAGTGTAGTTAAGGAAAACTCCCTCCTAAAAATAATTAGAGAACCACTTAGCTAATATTCAACCCAAATGTTATTTTCATAATTCTAAAACTACCCCTAAATTGTCTACTATACCCTTTTACAACCCTAATCTTATTTTCTCCGTTCTTCTCCCGTCTCTTCTCCATTTTTTTCTATTCTACTTTTCCCAGGCAATTCTCTAGTTTATTCTCTATTGTTCGGAAGATGAAGAACCAACCACCGACGCGGCATCACCGCCAAAACAACAACGCCAATCCCATTAAATCTGTCGTCGTTGGGGTTAATCCATCATCTTCGGCTTTTAATTCCCCTATTGAGACGTCTCCTCACTCCTCCCGCTCTCTACCCCTTCGCAAAATTAGGACTTTTGCATATATGAACAAAAGCCCTAAAGTTGATGATGATTTTGATGGCGATTCTGAATTCGATTACCAGGATTGCTACATCGGCGACGAAGATAGGTAAAATTATCGATTTGTTGTCGGAATCGGATTTTGATGGGTGGTGGTTCTGCGTTGGTTGGTGGTGAGAGTTGTAATTTACTTTATTTGTAGTAAAAAACTGTCAGAATATCGAAGTGGGGTGGTGATTGTATGATGTGGTGGCGGTGGAGAGCAGATCTAGGGTATTTTGATAGATTGGACGGATCACAACGCTGGTAGATAAATTCGTGCAGGCTGAACCCTTAATCGACTATTCTTCATCATAGTCGATTAAGTTAATCGACTATGCTCTGGTAGTCGATTAAGATTTCTCGATTTTATATTTTAATTCGTTTTTGGATTTTTGTGTATTGATTCCTATTTGTTATAAATCAATTACAAATTATTTATATTATTTGTTTTATAAAAATAATGTTGATTTTCGTTTTTAAGTAGTTGTGTTTTTTTTTTATTTTTTATTTATTATTTTTAGTAGTTAGTTTCCTATGCTTCATCATGGTCGATTAATATATGTGATAGAGAAAAAAAAGTTAAAAAACTAAAAAACGTGTCCTCGGACTAATGACTTCGGGCATAACTTGCGTTCAAAAACTCAATGGTGCACACAATTATGCAATTCACACCATGTATCGTATTTCGTTACGTTCTTCGTCAATGAGAGAGTGGAGATATCGTTTGCCGAGAGTCATTTTGACATTCAAGACACGTACGTATAGTGATTAACTTTACTATAATTTAGTAGCACTCATGCCGCTTCTTTCTCTAAACTTGGCTTTATAAATGGTTTAGAATATTAATTAGTAATAACAAGTCAAATGATATATATTCAATTCTTTTGATCAGTTATCCACAAGAAAGCTTAGGGAATAAAGATATGAAAATTGTCAAACAAGAAGAGCTATATATTTAGCCATTGAATTAATTAATATAGCACATGATTGCAACCATTTTCCCAAATTTCTCTCTCAAAAAATGTCTATAGTTTTCAGATTCCTCATCCTGGCAAACTTGTTGGCCTCTATCCAATCCACGTGCCTAAACAAAGGCAACTACACCACTAACAGCACGTACATGGCAAATCTCAACGCCGTCCTTTCCTCTCTCCTCACTGGCCTTAGCAGCAGCGGTTTCTACAACGCCTCCGTCGGGCAATATCCCGATAGAGCCAACGCCGCCGTGCTCTGCGGTGCCGACGTCGAGCTCGACGAGTGCCGCAGATGTCTCCGAGACATCACCCCCAAGATTCTAACATCGTGCCCTAATTATAAGCAGGCCTTTGAGTGGGACGAAGGCTGCGTGTTGCGGTACTCGAACGAGACGATGTTTGGAGTCCTGGCGATGTACCCGGGCCTATGGTGGTGGAATCTGAACAACGCCACGAGTCCGGTTCGGTTCAAGGAAGATCTGAGAACGCTTATCGACGGTCTTCGGATCAAGGCGGCGGCCGGCGACGGCACGAGGAAGGTTGCCGCTGGGAATATCACCGCTCCGGATTTTCAGACCATTTATGCACTGGTTCAATGCAGCCCGGATTTGTCTCAGAAGGATTGCAACATTTGCTTATTAACCGCTGAAGCGGATATACCAAGATGTTGTGACAATAGGGTAGGGGGTAGAGTGCTCTTGCAAAGCTGCTATCTTCGTTATGAGACTTATCCATTTTTTAATGAAACTGTGCTTCAAAAACTAGAGCCTGTGACTCTACCCCCGCCCGCGCCCGCGCCCGTGATCGTGCCGGTACCCGGGTCTCCGATATTGCGGTCACCACCGCCACCATCATCACCACCACCATCAGGTCTCTTAATTGCTTCCGAAGATAAGATTTAGTTAACAAAATTAAATAGGCCGCGTCTAGTTGCAATACCAGTTTTATTTACTAGTTTTATTAAGTGCAAGACTAAATTAAAAAAAATTCTATGTACGAATACTATAATACCCCTATTTCTTTGAAAAGATAAAATAAAAACCAAATTGATATATGCAATACCGTAAACTTACAAACCATAAAAATTTAACCACAAAATCACAAGACCAAATTTTCTTCTTCTCCATCTTTCAAAACACACAAAAATATATCTCGTTCATTTTCTATAAGTCCACAAAACATAAGCATTCAAAACCCTCAAAACTTAACGATGGAAAATATAGAGTCAAAAATATTAAAATTGAGGATTCTATGATGGAAGAACCCAAAAAAATATGCATTTATGTGTTTTATTAACTAGATCGTCGTTTTTCAAAAACCAAATACGCACAAACACGATTCGACATTTACATGTCGAATTTTATACCCAAAATTAAACTCAACATTAAGGTGTCAAAAATTAGGCAACAAAATCGACATCGTGCTTATGTCGAGTTTGTTGCACAAATACCGACCTCTTAATGTCGAGTTTTTGGTACAAAATTCGACATGTAAATGTTGAATCTTGTCTGTTCGGATTTTTTCGACATCTTAATGTCGGATTTTTTCGACATCTTAATGTCGGGTTTTGGGTATAAAATTGACATGTAAATGTTGATTTGCGTCTGCGCGCATTTGTTTTTTGAAAAACGATAAAATATCTGATAAAACATATAAATGCATACCTCTTTGATTTTTTACACCGTAAAATCTTCCATTTTGATGTATCTTGACTCCATAATTTTCCTCTTTGTAATTTGCTGATTTTTGAGGGTTTTTAATTTTGAAGTTTTATGGATTTTTGAGATATTTTTGTGGGTTTAGAAAGATGGAGAAGATGAAGATTAGTCTTGTGGTTTTGTGGTTTTTAAGTTTATGATATTGCATCAATTTGATTTTTGTTTTAAAAAAAATAGGGATATTATAGTATTAGTATATTAGTTTTTTAATTTAATCTTACACTAAAACTAAATGAAATTAGTATTGTACATAGTCGCCGCCAATGTTTTGAAAACCGGACCGGACATCGAACCGGACAAGCAACTGGGTCACGGTTGGACCGGTCCGACCGGGGTCCGACCGGGTTTTTTTATTTTTTTATTATTTGTATGATTTTAAAGTGATAATGATATAAATATGCACACAGAGTATATGTATTAATCATAAAATATCATTTTTAAGCATTTAATACTCAAATAATGTATCAAAATTTTTAAATAAAAGTAATATATACGCATGAATTTTATACCAAAAAAATGCATAATTGAATCTTACATATACTATTTATATAAAGTTTGAATAGTCAAATTAAATTTATGATAGTAAAATAATTTACTAAAAAACATCAATACAATTAAAAGCCCAAAGCCCAAACCCTAATTTTTTCTGGCATTAACCTTGCGCCTCCGTCAGAACTTATTGGCATTACCCTCACCCTATTTCACCTAGTTAATATTCTCTGGGTTTTTTTTTCCTTCCTATCTCTTTCCCACTGCCATTGCCAATCTTTCAGCAAACCACACACTAAGAAATGAAGTTCTCTCTCTCTCTCTCTCTCTCTCATTTTAATTTTCATAAGGAACCGGTTTTTGGTGACGGGTTTTGCCGGTTTTGGGCGGTTCGACCGGAAAATTTCCGGTTTTCAACAATCGACTCGGGTTTTTGGCATTTCTGGGTTTATGCATCGGATCGGACCGGCTTGATGGCCGGTTCGCGGTTCAACCGGTCGGACCGACCGGTTCGGTCCGGTTTTCAAAACATTGGTCGCCGCCAATTAAAAACTTAAAAAAGATAAATTATATAATTAGACCGGCCTAATAAGTAATCGCCCGATTAATTAAGAATATAGCCATATTTTCCAAATATGGGGCACATGTAATTTGGTTTATGAGATAAGATATTTAAACCTCTAGACCTCTTTTGGTTGCCAATATATAATTAGTCTAGATAAAATAATTTACACTATCAATTAATTATGACTACTAATTTGTAAGGTTGCTTTTAAATAAATTTTGGATTTTTTTATCTTCTCTCCCATATTAATAGTGCTTGGTATTTGATTTCCTTTACATAACCCAATTTAATTTAAATGACCCAATTACCCTTTTTTATCTTACATAATTGTTTTTTCTAAAATTATTTTATTTAGTTATATTTTTCAATGTTTTAATTTTTTAATTTTTACTTTTTTAATTACTTTGTACTTTTATATTCTTTTACTAACTTCTATTTTTTAATTCTATATTAACTATTTATAATAATTTTTATTTTCTATTATTTCTTGATTTATTATTATTTATTTAATTTTTTTATGTTTTCAATCTTTTCCTTCTTAATTTGTTACAAGCTCTCTTTTTTTTTTCCGACTTTTTACTTATATTTTAAGATTTGTTTTTCATAAGTCCAATGTTTAAATTTTAAGTTTTTTACTTTTTTATATTATGTTTTTAGTTATTTTTAACTTCATGGAATATATGTCATTGTGAAAGAGAGAGGAAAACTATAAAGTCAATTTTGTCATTAATGCATCTTATCATAGTATAATTATTTTATCCGAACATCAAATTAAACTTTACTATTTAAGTTAATCTTGGCTACTCTCGTCAACCAAATCAGTCAATAACCTTAACTAATCTTACGTAAAGTCAATTATATTGTTGGACTATTCCAATAAGTAATTGCCCAATTAGCTAAGATTAGTGCCATATTTTCCAAAATTGTGGACGCACTTGAAAAATTACTGGACTAACAAACATCTAATAAGGTATAATTATGTAACTAATAATGGCTAATCTTATCAACCAGATGAGACCTAACTATTTTAGTGTGAAAAGAATTGACAAGTTCTTTCAAATTTTGTAGGGAAAAAAGATGACAATTCGTCAGCTCGAGCTGTCGTTATTATTGCGGTTTCAATTGCTGCGTGTGTGATAGTAGTAGTTGCTTTAGTTGGCATCTGTTTAAGAAAAAAAATAAAACGTAGACCAATCGAAAATCCTGAGAGTAAGAAATCTTATTCTTGAAATCCGTAATTTTATTTACTGTATAATTCCTGCACGTATTCAAGTATAATTTCTTTCTTTTTAACAGTAGATAAAGCTGTAGACGAGATTACTACAGTTGAATCTTTGCAATATGGTTATAGCACAATCAAAGCAGCAACAAATGATTTCTCTGATAAGAACAAGCTTGGGGAAGGAGGATTTGGTGTTGTTTATAAGGTAATTTGATATACGAGTTCATTCTGGATAAGCACAAACGTTGATTGTTACTAAAAACTATACAAAATCTAATGATTTTTATAATTTAAATTCAGGGAAAACTCCCTAATGATCAAGAAATAGCGGTCAAAAGATTGTCTAAGAATTCAGGACAAGGTGATGTAGAATTTAAGAATGAGATCTTATTACTCGCTAAACTTCAACATCGGAATCTGGTTAGACTCTTGGGTTTCTCTATACAAGGATCAGAAAAGCTTCTCGTATATGAATTTGTTCGGAATGGAAGCCTTGATCTCTGTATGTCAGGTAATATTTCGTCTTAATAGTTTTACAAAATAATAAATATACTGGTAATTAAAAAATCCTTTCTCAATTTAGACGTAGCTAATTTGATTTTGACATTATTCAATTGAACATATAGACCCAACAAAGCGTTCGTGTTTGGATTGGGATAAACGCTACAAGATCATAGGGGGTATCGCAAGGGGACTTGTGTACTTGCATGAGGATTCTCAACTCAGGATCATTCACCGTGATCTTAAACCTGGCAATGTACTTTTAGATAGAGAGATGAATCCTAAAATCGCAGATTTTGGCATGGCGAGATTATTCGAACAAGATGAAACTCAAGGAAATACAAGCAAGATTGCCGGAACTTAGTAAGTAATGTCTGTTATTATATGCTTGAATTAGAATCTAAGCTAAGAAAGTATTTCTATGTTGTTGCAGTGGATATATGTCGCCTGAATATGCAATGCGCGGGCAATTCTCTGTTAAGTCCGATGTGTTTAGCTTCGGAGTTTTAGTACTGGAAATCATGAGCGGTCAAAAAAATAGGTCTATCAGGATCGGGGACAATGTGGAGGATCTTTTGACTTTTGTAAGTAATTACTTACTTAGATGCCTTAAATTTTAAAGTCAAATATACATATATATACATATATATTTTCAGACATGGAAGAATTGGCGCGAAGGAACGGTTGAGAATATGATAGATCCTATCTTGAGAGCAGCTGGCACGGGTTCATTACGGGACATGATAAAGTGCATTCACATTGGCTTGTTGTGCGTTCAAGAAAATGCTTCAAAAAGACCACCAATGGCTTCGATTCTTATAATGCTGAGCAGCTCCACCATGAATCTGCCTGTACCTTCGGAGCCAGCGTGTTTTATGGACATTTCACTCTTTGATAACTGTGATGATTCGAACTCGTCGGATGCTAGCAAAAGATTGAAGGCCAGGACGACTATATCTGAGGGCTTGTCTATAAATGATGTAACAGTTACTGATTTATATCCCCGGTAATTTGCAAATATGTATTTGTATGGTGCTTGTTATATCTTTACAATTATGTATATTGGCTACAGTTGAATCGCTGTTTCTTTTGTCCTTTCTATCAGTTGTGTGTTAATATTTATGAAATAAATTTGTGATCCTAAACCAGTTATGAAAGATTGTTTATATGTTTGTCTTTCTTTTTAATTGAGATTTGTATATGTCTAAAGAAAGTCATGTGGTAACCATTTACTTTCCACTCATTGTATATTCACAATAGAAGATTCTATGGTGGAAGAACCCAAAATATATGCATTTATGTGTTTTATAAGCCATGTCATCGTCTTTCAAAAAGCAAAAGCACACACATACAATTCGACATTTACATGTCGAATTTTACACCCAAATCTGGACAATAAGGTGTTGAAAATTAGGCAACAAAATCAACAGCTTGCTTATGTCAAGTTTGTTGCACATACATCGACCTCTTACTGTCGAGTTTTGGGGACAAAATTCGACATTTAAATGTCAAAGTGTGTATGCACGGATTTTTTTCGACATCTTAATGTCAAGTTTTGGGTACAAAATTTGACCTGTAAATGTTGAATCACGTTTGCGCACATTTTTGTTTTTGAAAAACGATAAACTAGCTAATAAAACATATAAATGCATACCTCTTTGAGTTCTTCCACCGTAAAATCTTATATTTTGATTTATTTCGACTCTATAATTCCCTCTTTGTAATGTTTGTTGAGTTTTGAGGGTTTTGAATGTTGAATTTTTGTGAGTTTATGGAAGAAGAAGGTGAGATATTTTTGTAGATTTTGGAAGATGGAAAAGATGAAATTTTGGTTTTATGGTTTTGTAGTTTTTAAGTTTATGGTATTGCATCGATTTGGTGTTTGTTTTTTTAACAAATAGGGATATTGTAGTATTAGGGCTCATTGGGTTACCTATATTGGATTAAATTGGATTACATGAGATTTAATTAACTCCATACCGACTAATTATACTAACTATGGAGAAGATGGACTTTGATATTTTATTGAGGTACAATTACATCCCATTATATACAACGTATATGAGAGAATATCTGACCTAATCTGCCGAGAAACTCAAACTACATGAAAATATAAATAATTTTGACTAAACAGAAATTAAAGAATGCCCACGTCTTGCGGAACAGTTTGTTACACTAATACACCCCCTAAAGTTAGGTGGTGTTGACAACACCTAAATTGCTCAGGTGATGATGAAAGGATCTTTTCGGAAGAGCTTTGGTTAAAGTGTCTGCCAGCTGATCGGCACTATGAACATGTGTAACAACAACCTACTTTTGTTGCACTTTTTCGCGAACAAAGTAAAAATCAATTGCAATATGCTTCATGCGGCTATGAAAGACATGGTTTTGGCAGAGATAAGTTGCACCAATGTTATCACAGAAGATCGTTGGTGGTTTCTGAAGAGGAACTCGAAGTTCGCGCAATAAGTTGCTAACCCAATTTGATTCGGATAATGCACTGGCAACAACCCTATATTCGGCTTCAGTTGAGGACCTAGCTACCATTTTTTATTTCTTTGAAGACTACCTTATTGGATTGTTACCAAAATATAAGAGATAACCTATTGTCGAGGTTCTATCATTTGGATCGCCGGCCCAATCCGCGTCTGAATACATGTACAGATTGTTGTCACGATGACGAGTGATGCACAAACAATAGTGAGCCATTTGTTTCAGGTACCGAAGGACCCTCTTAACAACTTTCCAATGAGTTTAAGATGGCAAGTGCATGTATTGGGACAACTTGTAAACTGAATAAGAAATATCAGGACGATTGAACGAAAGATATTGCAATTTTCCCATTACCTGGCTATGGCACTACCATCATCTAGGCCCAGAACTTGAGAAGAACTCATGGGAGTAAGAACACCTTTGCTGTCGTCCATATTCGAGTCTCGGAGGATGTCCATAATATATTGGGATTGCGACAAGATTATATCATCATCCTGCTGAGTTACTTCAATACCTAAAAAATGGTGAAGAAGACCAAGATCTTTAAGTGCAAAACGTCAAGAAAGGGAAGAAATCACCTTTTGGATAAATGTGGAGTTGCTTCCTGTGATTATGATATCATCCACGTACACCAATATATAGACTGTAACATCCATGTTGTGAAGGATGAAAAGCGATGTATCGGACAGAGACTTTGAAAACCCCATTTGTAGAATAAATTCCTTTAATTCGTTGTGCCCTTGGGGCCTGTTTGAGGCCATAAATTGCATGTTTTAAGTGGCATACATGCGTCGGTAAATTTGGATGTTCAAAGCTCGGTGGTTGCATCATAAAGACTTCTTCTTCAAGGTGACCTTGAAGAAAAGAATTATTTACATCCAACTGATGTATTGCCCAATTTTTCTGAGCAACAATAGCAAGAACATGTCGTACTGTTGTCGGTTGAATGACTGGACTGACTGTTGAATGATAATCAATGCCGGGTCGTTGAGTAAAACCCTTGGCGATGAGCCTCGCTTTATGACGATCAACATTGCCATCTGGTTTCCTTTTAATACGAAAGAGACATTTGCACTTAATGATATTTCGATTGGGATAATTTGGAATTAATTCCCAAGTCTGGTTTTTCAATAAGGCATCAAATTCTTGTTTCATTGCATCTCTCTAGTGGGGATATTTTGTGACTTGTTTAACTGTGGTGGGTGTAAAGTTTGAAGATAATTGGGCAACATAGTCAGCAATTTTTTTTTGTTTAAAGACATTGTTTCAAGAACGAGTGGTGATACGGTTTGAGGTTTGAGAAGGATTATTGGCTAGGTAAGCCGGTTGGCTGGAAGTTATTTGTTGATGCACATGTGTTTGGGAGATGGTTGGTGTATTACTGTGTGTAGTTGGATATTGGGATGAAGACGAGGGTATGTAGGTATTTAGTTGAACTTGAATGGGATGTGCTGTAAGTGTTTGAGAAGGGAGAGGTAATTGAGTGTGTATTATACCTGGTACGGGCGGAGCCACCGGTTGAGGAGCTGAAGAGCGGTCTTGTCGAGTTTGTCCTGGAGAAGTAGACTGTATCACAATTTGAAGGGGAATAGGTGGAGGAATATCATTTGACTCTGAGAGGTTTGAGAGTTGGTTTGATGTGTGTGGCTTGCATAATTGGGCCAACCCAATGGGCCTACAAATTATTTACCTACTGGGCCACGAGCCCAATACCGAAGACCACTATCACCGAGGCCCAATCACCTTCAAGTAAGGTTTGGGCCCGACAATCTCAACTAAGCTATAAATAAAAGTTTGAACTCATTCCTTAAGATACGTCCTATTAACTGAGCAATACTACAACATGTATTCTCTAGACCATTTATACTATCAGCACGTCTGACTTGAGCGTCAGAGGGGTTTCCGTCGGATCAACCCCCGGCTCAGTTTATGTGTTCTATGATCGCAGGTATCTCAAGGTCATCAAGCTCGTGAGCCAGTGATCCACTATGCTCTTCCAGCTCATCCTATTTCAACACTCTGAGGTGATCTAACTTCAGCATCATCATTTTGGCGCCGTCTGTGGGAAGGCAAACACAATCACGTAGCGCACATGATGGCCTTGAGACATCTGCTCAAGGGAGTGTGACACTGCTAACAACCTCCCACCTCTTGGAGGCTCTGGCTTGTCACATATTCCTCCCCATGCTCGGGATCCACTACGAGGCCTTACTCGGATGTCCCACTATATCCTCAATAGGATTCACTTCTTCCCGCCCCTCGATCGATTCAGACAACCGAGGAGGCCCTTCAACGCTAGTAAGGGTTATCGACTCCCTGGGGGTATACAGTGCCCCCAAAACATTTCGCTCGCCAAGGGTTATCCACTCCATGGGGGTATACAGTGCGCCCAAAACATAAAAACATTTCGCTCGCCATATCGACTCCCTGGGGGTATACAGTGCCCCCAAAACATTTCGCTCGCCAAGGGTTATCGACTCCCGGGGGGCTTACATCTGCCCCCTAAATATTTCGTTCGCCAAGGGTTATTGACTCCCTGGGGGTTCACAGTATGATCGCAGAACCTTCAACAAGATCAACTTCTACTTGCTCCTCTAACGGTTCAGATAACCGATAAGGACCTTCAGCGTACGACCACGAAAGTTTCAACTCGTGTTGCCACTGAAGCAATGGCACAACCGTGTGCATTCACCTCAGACCATAGGTCTCGAGCGCCTCATTCTAAAGTTGGGGGCTATCCCATCCCAAGGTTGGCATCACCCTTACCTTTCAACCCCAAGTGGGTGCACATCCCATCTCAAAAGACGAGTATAATTTCCCTACTCCAAAAAATAGAACATCTCCAAAGGGGTGAACATCAACCACCGAAATACAAAAAAAAAAAAAGGAGAAGAAAGAAGATGAAAAAAATAGAAGAAGATGAAGAAAAAAGAAAAAGAAGAAGAAGAAAAAAGAAGGAGATGAAAAGAAAAAAAAAAAAGAAAGAAGAAAAAAAAAAAAGTTTTAGCCAAGCCGCGCGCCCCCGAGCCGGCCAAGCCACCGCACGCGCCCTCCAAGCCAGCCGCGCGCGCGCCCCAAACAAAAAAAAAACAGAAGAGGCGCGCGTGCACAGCACGCGCGCGTGGTGTACACGCGCCTGGCGCGCGCTCGTCAGCAGGAAAAAAAAAAAAAAAACAAGAGGCGCGCGTGCACAACACGCGCGCGTGGCACACACGCGCTGATGTGCGTGCGCGTCAGCAGGAGGGAAAAAAAAAAGAGGAGGAGGAGGCGCGCGTGCAGAGCAAGCGCGCGTGGCGTACACGCGCTGACGCGCGCGCGCGTCAGCAGATAGAAAAAAATAAAATAAAATTAATTAGAGTGCTCGCAAGCACGCGCGCGCGCTTTCCCAAGGCGCCCTGGGACTGCACGCTCCCGTCAAATCGCGCGCAACTTTGCCTGCTCTCTACCAAATTGCGCGTAGATTTTGACTCGCTTCACCAAATCGCACGAGAATTTTAACGCGCTTCACCAAATTGCG